TGAGCGGCAATAGGTGTGTGTGTGTGTGTGTGTGTGTGTGTGTGTGTATGTGTGTGTGTGTGTGTGTGTGTGTGTGTGTGTGTGTGTGTGTGTGAGAAATAATACTATTCTAAATGAGCGGCAATAGGTGTGTGTGTGTGTGTGTGTGTGTGTGTGTGTATGTGTGTGTGTGTGTGTGTGTGTGTGTGTGTGTGTGTGTGTGTGTGTGTGTGTGTGTGTGTGTGTGTGTGTGTGTGTGTGTGTGTGTGTGTGTGAAGTACTACTAGTCTGAATGAGAGGCAATAGATTTGTGTATGTATGTGAGTCAACAATGGTGTACCACAAGGCTCAGTCTTAGGACCCACCCTCTTTACAATCTACATACATAACGTAGGTAAAAACATCCCTAATGCATCCATACATTTCTACGCTGATGATACAATTGTTTATTGTCGAGCTAAAACTGTTGCTAAGGCTTTCCAGCTTTTGAAATCTGCATTCAACTACATCCAGACAGATTTGTTCTGCCTCAAACTTGTCCTAAATGCCGATAAAACCAAAGGGATGCTTTTTTCAAATAGGAAGTTGGTCCCAGCAGTTCTTCCTCCGATTTTATCCTCAAATGGTGTCCCGATTGAGTTTGTTGATTCCTATAAATATTTGGGTATCTTGGTTGACTCACATCTCTCTTTTAAGCTCCATGTGGAAAACTTGGTAAAGAAACTGAAAGTTAAACTGGGTTTCTTTTTCAGAAACAGATCCTGTCTAATGCTAAATGCTAGGAAACACCTTGTATCTGTGACTTTCCTTCCCTCAATTGATTACGGTGACATTATTTACATGAATGCTCCAACAAGAACCCTGCAGAGGTTGGATGCTACAGATGTTGGATGCTGTCTATCATGGTGCACTAAGATTCATAACTGGCTGTGATTATCGTACCCACCACTGTACCCAGTATTCACTGGTTAACTGGACATCATTAACTTCACACAGACTCTCCCAATGGTACATTTTCATCTTTAAATCACTTCTTGGTCTGCTGCCTTCATACATCTCCTCCTACATGTATCTGTGTGAGTGCAGCTACAGCGTGTGAGAGAGAATAGTAGCGTGTGTGAGAGAGAATAGTAGCGTGTGTGAGAGAGAATTGTAGTGTGTGTGAGAGAGAATAGTAGTGTGTGTGAGAGAGAATAGTAGTGTGTGTGAGAGAGAAAAATAGATTATGTCCTACACGGCACCTCTTAGTTTCTCAGCACACGTTCAAGTACACCATGTGCTAGATTACATCTTATACAGTTTAAAGTAATAAACGGTCCACTTTTCAAAATCCTGTTTATCTAAAATCTTTCCTTCAATTTTAGACCAATGTGACAGATGTCAGACTTCACCTTGCAACTTGAGCCACATGTTTTTCTTCTGTCCAACTTTGCATACATTCTGGAGTGATTTCTTTTCTGTAATTTCAGGGATTTTTAGAACCCAGATCCAAAGTGACCCACTAACTGCCATTTTTGGAGTTCCAGTGACCACGCTTAACCTCTTTCCCATATAAAATGAGATTTTGCTCTCTGTTCCCTTCTTGCTAGATGCTGGATTTCACTCCTGTGGAAATCTCCCATGCCTCCATGGCTTAATACTGTCAAGACATTTTTGAGGGTGGAGAAGTTTTACTAACAGTGAAGGTAGTTCAGCTAAATTTACTCGCAAGTGGACACACTTTGTGGAGTACCTCAAATATTTGCCTTCTTAGTGTGCAGAATAATGTAATTAACCCATCATTTGACAAAGTTAAAAAGAGTGTAAACAATTATTTATTTTAGACCCCCTCCTCATCCAACCCCCTTGTTTTTTTTTGTTTAATTTTTCTCTGTTCTTGCATTTGTACAATGTCTTATATTGTGAACAACATTGTATAATCTCTTGAAAAATTAATTAATTAATTAAAAAATGGCTAAAAACAGTCTTTGCTAGCAATAATTTTAGCCAACATGCAACATTTATCCATTTTATTTGTATTTTTTTGTTTATTTTATTGTTTTCTTTTTTAGAACGTGTCTGTTCTTTTTGTATTTTATCAAACATAATGAGCTTCTGTTTTTGTTCTTAGGTTTACACATTGAATGCATTGATATTCTGTTCTGTTGCTAATACTACTTTTTGCCAGTAGAGGGCAGTACGGTAGCAGCAAAGGCCAGAAAAGACAGTTAAGAAAAGAACAGAGTGAGATACAGTAGACTTCGGTCGTTTTCAAACTAGATAGTCCGGTAGACTCGGTTCGGTTTGGGACCAATATTCATGACCTTTTGTTACATTTGAGCTGGTGCGTTTGCATTCACACTGCACTGTGCAGTCGAGCCAACCTGTTGAAGCAACCTGTTGAAGCAACCTGTTGAACCAACCTGTTGAAGCAACCTGTTGAGTCAACCTGTTGAGTCAACCTGTTGAGTCAACCTGTTGAACCAACCTGTTGAAGCAACCTGTTGAACCAACCTGTTGAACCAACCTGTTCCCCCGCTCGCCTGTGGGGGCGCTGCACCAAGAACTACTGAAAGAAACGACACAAGAACCTCTCAAGACACGTCTTTATCTTCTTCTGTAAATAAAAATAAAAATGAAGTGGCATCAAGTTTTAGCAGTTTTAGGAGTTATATTTTGTCATTTTTCAAAAATGGACTTAGCATGAGCAGAAGATGAGACAGAAGACCATGGAGAATATTGTTCTTCACACAAGTCAGCTGACGGCTCCATATAAGAGAAATGTGTGTTTGTTTGTCCTGCGGAGCGGGGCTCGGTCTGTTTACAACTCCGCGCTGGAGTTCTCTTCTACCGGACACAGACCTAGGTTTTAGCCCGGGCCAGAGTTCGCCTTTTTGTTCTGTGACAGAGTTCGATGGCGCGTTCACACCTCCCTAAACGAACTGGACTTTCTAGGAAAACGACCTAGAGTTGGATTAAAGTGGACTAAACAGGGCTGGTGTGAATGCACCCTTAGTAAAAAGTCAATTCTTGTCTCCTGTTTCTATACAACCTCCACAATACCTTCATTTGTGCATTTTCTCATGATGATTTAATATTTTGGCCTGTTTAAATCAAAATTCAATGTAATCATTGATATAGCAAACTTTAGTTAGAGTTGTGCATCCCTGGATTTCCTCTTGTCAAAACAAAAAACAAACATATTTTTAATCTGTTATTGGTAAAAGAAGTAGTTACTTTTTTAAATTACCAGGAAACCTCGTGTTAGTCCTTGGTGACCCATCGTAGTTCGCTCTTTTTGTTTTGCAGCTCTGACAGGTCGACAGCAGGTCCAGGTAGCTTTGCACCTGGAAACATTTTCTTCTCATCTGGCGTCCGGGCTTGAGGGCATTCTGGTGCTTCTGGTGGCTGACTCTTCAGAAAAAATAAAATAAATGATAATAATAATAAAATACCTGTATATACATAAAATATATAAATCAACCATCATCAGAAGCTGTGGGAAAACTAGAGGATTTATGTTTTTTAATGTGGTTTTGTTACTTTTAGACTTTTTGTTGAGCAAGATAAAACTATCTTATGCGTACATAAAATATGTATTTTAAATGTCTTTATTTAACACCATTTTAAACATATACTTTCATCTTCAAGTACTTGCACTCACTCTTTGCAGTATTGCTCATGAGCACTAGTTGCTGCCACTGAATAGGTTTCAAGAGTTAATGACATGAGGGACAGAGTTATTAAAGACACAGGTGTTTAAATAGCTTGTTTAAACCTCAACTATGTCCATATCGTGTCAAGAATACTATATTTTACAGTATTATTACCAGAGTAGAATATGTAGATGATTTTGTTTAATTGACCCTCTTTAAAGCAAGTTTCTTAAATATTTAGGTTATTAAATATGTTTAATAGCATGTTTTATTTATTCATACAGCAACAGCAGTTTTTTTTTTTTTTTTTTTTTTTTTGTTGCAAACCATCACAAGTACTGCATAAAGTGCACATGATTAAGTGTGAGTTGAGGCTACAAAAGAAATGCGCCTTTTAAGGACAAAATAGTAGATAAGTAGTTTCACTTTCAAATGCATTTGTGTTGCAAAGTATTTTTTTACATGGCACTGCCTTACATTTTAGATTGTGCCTCAGCCTAATTTGTGTAGGGAAATTCAAGGAGTAAACATGTGGATGGCACTCGAAATCTAATCAGACAGGCAACTCTAGTGAGCATTCAGCCTTGCTTTACATTTATAGAATGTATCAGTTAGGACCACACTTTAATGATGATAGATAAATAAATAAAACCACAGCACCATGGCTTTACAGTTCATCTTGAAGTGGTCTTTCTGCAGCTCTGTTTTGACACTGACAGCATCAAACTAAGAGAAACATCAAGATAAGACAGCATTTTTCATCCAGAACCCTCTGGATCATCCATCTTCTGATCACTTTTAAAAACTTGTACAACTCTCACCTCTTCTGTGTCTACTGCTTCCTCTCTCCTCTTCACAGGAAGTCCCGCCCCTGGACGCAAAGCTCCCATCGGGATGTTCAAATTAGCCTGGAGGAGAGTGGGAACAGCCAGTGAGACCATTTCAAGTGTCCCATAATGTCCAGTGTCTCTGTTTCCTGCTCTTTTTTCAAAACCTCTTGTTTTGATTATGACCACTATTTCCTGATCATCGGCAGTTCCTTGTGTGTTTATGAAAATAGGGACACGTACGGCACTAATGATTTGTCTGCTAACTCGATGTTCCTGTGGCCTGCTCTTACTTCCCGTCACTTGGATTCAATGTGTTTGTTTTGTACTGCACTGTATAAAAGCCGATAATGTATACATGTACAAAGTGAGAACATTTTTTGAATATATCAGTGAATGTTTTACAAGGAATTAAATATTTTAGAGGCATTAAAGTGTTAAGTATGGAAGGTAACCTAGATGACAAACCACCTCGTCTGCAGCATGTTTGTATTCCTGTAACGTTGCTTTGGCTGGAATTGTTTACTGTCTTTATGCTAAGAGTGCCATCAGCAGCTAACACTTGATGTTCCACCAACACTATAAAAGATTAAATAAGTATTTTAAGTGATATTAAACAATTCCTCCACTCAGCAAAGATTTGCTTAAGGGGTTCAACAAAAGTGAAGGCAAACCTACAGTGTTGTCTAGCTCAAGGGTTCCCAACCTTGGTCCCTGAGGAACACCATCCTGCATGTTTTAGTTGTTCCTCTGCTCCAACACACCTGATTTGAATGAAAGGGTGATTATCTGACTTCTGCTGAATTTAATGAAGAAATCAAACTGCTCAATCAGGGGTGTTGGAGCAGAGGAACAACTAAAACATGCAGAATGGTGTTCCTCAAGGACCATGGTTGGGAACCATTGTTATACCAAAAACAATTTAATATGATTTCATCTACCAATCCTTCCCAACTACTTCTCATTAGCTTCATTTATTTAATAATAACAAATTAACAGATTACAAATAATAACAAATTAATTATTTGTAATTTGCCAGAAGTGTATGCGGTAATAATGTCAAAAAGCATGTGTAAATATTTCTTGTGTAGACATATAATTGTCTTCTTTATGTGTATTTGTGAAAACTTGTCTTCAAACTTATCGTTTGTCTCATGTGCCCATTTTTAAATAGAAAAGTAAATAAAATTGACAAAACAATGAAAACATAATGTTCCTGACAAGTAATTCTCTGCATTCTTTATAATTCATTTTATTTAACAGAGAAAGTTTCATTGAGACTGAAGACCTCTTTGTCAATTAAGACCTGGCCAGCAAATGATCAAACCTCAAATTATAACTGAAAATTTGTCACTCTTGGGCTTCCAAAATTTAAGAAATCTAAAAAAATAAAAATCATAAAAAAAAGTTTCACATCAGTTTGACTGGTCAACTATATCTGTCTATCTATAGATATAGATCTATCTATCTATCTATCTATCTATCTATCTATCTATCTATCTATC